TCACCAGCATCTCAATATATTCTAATCGCCTAATATTGGAGTATAGTGGGTTCCCATCCCATCCCGAATTGGTGCATAATCGAGTCTGTAATGCAGCGAGATCTTTTGGCCAGTGCGGCAATGCAATCTTCTTATTTTAGTGGGTTCCCATCCCATCCCGAATTGGTGCATAATCGAGTCTGTAATGCAGCGAGATCTTTAGGCCAATGCGGCAATGCAATCTTCTTATTTTAGTGGGTTCCCATCCCAGCCCGTATTGGTGCATAATCGAGTCTGTAATGCAGCGAGATCTTTTGGCCAATGCGGCAATGCAATCTTCTTATTTTAGTGGGTTCCCATCCCATCCCGAATTGGTGCGTAATCGAGTCTGTAATGCAGCGAGATCTTTTGGCCAATGCGGCAATGCAATCTTCTTATTTTAGATTCGAGCAGACAGGAATGCATGTTTCTAGTCTCGAGCTGCGTCAAAATTAGGTAGGAATACCTGTTTTGAAAAGAAGAATAAAAGAGAAAAGGAAAAAATGTTCTACTTACAAATTTACCATACCATAGGAATGTCTACATCTAATGACTTTTATTATTATTATTATTATGTCGATAGTACAATAAAAGACAACTTTTTCTCACTTTTTTTCTTATCTCACCTGCATGTGATACGATTTAAATTCAAAACTTTTTACTTTCAGTAGACGAAAATTATCACTGAATTACTTAAATTGTTGACACTTCTAATAACTTTTATTTTATTATTATTTTATTTTTTTCTTTTGAAAGTCATTTAAAAAGCATAATTTTTTTTAATACAATAAAGTGTTAATTGTTTTTTTATTAATTTCTTGGTATTTATATATTACATTAAATTTCAATTAATTTAGAATTATATTATATTGAATCCCATAAAAAAAAAAACTCTATTAAAACCTGTTTTCCTATCCACAAGATTTAATTCAAAATTTTATTTAAAAAATAATAAATTTTTTTCACTCAAATCAATAACAGGTTAGTAAAGTATTAATTATTTAATAATATAAAAATTTCAACCTTTAATTTTGAACTTAAATTAAAATCTTTAAATTAATAAATACCAACTTAATTATTGGTCCTAAAAATGATAATAATTG